GTGGAAGGGGATGGTCCTTAAGAACGATATAGATGGGATGTTTGAATGCTCTGTGTGATTGTTACAAATGGAACGCAGCTGTAGGACAAGACAAGAGTTCTTTACCAGTGCTGGGTCAGGGGGTGGGGAATAAATAGCCACCGTAGATAGATGGCCACTCTGCACTAGGGATGGGATTTCGGAGTTAGGTACTAATGGGATTTGAAAATTCCAGACTTGGAGCCAAAATTGACATGTACAGTTCACCTGGAGTTAATTCTCCGCCCCTGCCACCTCTGCTGTTTAAAATCCTTGCTTTGCTGGTTGGACCTTGGGTTGGCTGAGGCGACTGCAGACAGCTCCGAAGTGCTGATCACAGCCCAAGCCTTTGGGCTTGGTGTTCTGTGGGCCAGGAGGCCTCCCACCCAATGCTGCCCACACATCAGGGATCCGTCCTCAAGCTGCTATCGATCAGAGTTGCTCCCTGGAAGTCAGTGGAGTGATTTATACCAGCTGCATTTGTGACCCAGTAGCTGAAAATATTGCTCTGGAAAGCGTGGGTGACCTCGCTGGGAAGGATGAAGGACATCATTATAACCACACAATGAGAAATAACTGCCAGCCCCACCCAAAGGAAAGGTACTGGGGTATTAAATGCAAAATGCAGGGCAGATGCAGTTGCTTACACGGATGAGTGTGCGGGTTGAGCACTCCCCTCTCGTTTCACGCCAAAAAGAAAAAGAAAACAGGCTGCGCTCTAGAAAGTTACAATACCAGCTCACTCTTCTTTCTTCTGGAACAGGATTCGGAGAACTTCCACCGTAACTGCGTGGCGGTAAAGAGAGGACGCAGACTGTGGAGAAAAGCCTTCCTGGTTTCCACAGCTTGTGACAGGCCAAAAGCTCTTGTGTGTCCACGACCCGGGTATCGCCATAACCTGCAATAGCAAGCAGGGATTGAGGGGCAGCTGCCATCCTAAAACATCTGTGCTCTGTGACACATGGAGGACTGAACATGGAATGCAAAGTACTGGAAGAAAGCCAGTGTTATGTACAAGCTAGTGCAAATGTGCCACGGCTGGACGGAATCAGACCTTACTCGACTGTGTGTCCCCATATCGCCCCTAGCGCAGCCCACGCAGAAGAGAAGCCTTAATGCTGGTGACAGCTAATGGACATCTCTTCTTTAGTTCCAGCGACTGAAGTCAGCTGTTTTCGGAGCCGGAGTTCATGTTTCAAATCTATGTAGCTCTGGTGTGTGGACGATCTCGAAGTCTGCCCGACTACGGAGACAGGAGACACCCCTCCTATGGATATCTGCCCCTGTGCAAAGAGGCACCCACATTCACCACCCTGCAGGCATTCGAGTGCCAAATCTGGGTCACCTGGGCTGTAAATCATCTCTGGCAAAGCACAGCTTGCACTGGTTACACTGTAGGGATATGGTGGGAGAGGAAGGAAGGAAGGGGAAGCAGTGCTTGGCACAGTGGCTGGGATTTATATACAGAAAAAGCAATTTCAGCTCTGAAAGATGGAGTCACTGCCCTTTTCACAGGTTTCCCCTGAGAGGTTTCAAGTACTGCCTGGGAGAACCCAAGAGCAGATTCTTCCTCCTGCCTCCCAATCCATTACTCTGCAGCTGTTCTTGTTACACACAGTCTGAAGCAGAACAATGCTTGGTGTTTGGATCCCATGGTGATCAGAGCCTTAGAAACACTGCGGTTAGCTAGCACAACAGGGGGAATGCACCAACCTCTGGGTGCATGACCAAAAACGCGGGTGGAAAGGCAAAGGTCTCTGATGTTCATGGTGCACTGGACAATTGCTCTGTGTACAGGCACCGCACAAACCTTCCTAGGGAAACCTGCAGGAGGCTTTCCGTTCAAATGCCTGCCCTAGTCTTGGGTGCGTTTGCTACTGTGCGTCTATTCTGCTATTCCATTTCGCCCAAAGGTGGCGATAGACCAAGCAGAAATGGGGGAAGGGGCAAAGCCGGATTTGTTTTGTTGATCGTTTTCCTGTTTATCAAAGCTCAGGTCCATCTTTGTGATCCAAACTGGGCGCCGTAGGAATGGATGTGACTCACTGAACAAGACTTCTCTCAATGCACGGCCCGAAGCGCAAAACTCAGGAGCACTTTAAAACCACCAAACGAGCGCAAACGTGGCAAAACGCTAAGAGGCTATAGCCATTCTTCCTTCTCCAGGACACTAAGCAGCACTCTGGACAGGAGACACCCCTGGACAGCGTCAAGTAGCTCTGGACAGTGTCAAGGCTTTGGGTTTTGCCTTAAACAGCTATGAATTGTAGTTTGCTTAGACAACTCTCCTAAGCTCCACTGACCTGCTGGTTCTTTTCAAAAACATTACACTGTACAATCAACCAGCCATCTCTGTTCTCAGCCCACAGGGACTCCAGGCTCCCAACCTCCTGGAGGCTTAGCAAGGCCTTAATACAGTTCCATTTTTTTAACTCCCCATCCGCCCCGCAAGACAGATACACGACAGTCCCAGGATTTTCCAAAAAGAAGGGTCATTTTAAAGCTCAAACAATATTGGCCCCATTAATACTTTTCATGCAGAAAAATGTCTGGATACTGTATATTTCATCATTCTGCTTTACACAAAGGCAAGATGGCAAAATGAATGCATAAGGGCAACAGAAATACAGCTTGTTGAGGGGAGGAGAGCGTTCAGTCCAAGCCTGGGGATTTGTCAGGGGTAGTAGCTGAGTTTCTAAAGAGAAGGAAGGAGGGAGGGCAGGGTGCAGGGACTAGAGGTATGGGAATAAGGAGAAGGGGGTTAGATTATCCCCTGTAAAACATCAACCAGCCGACAAAGCACAGTATATGGGCGGGGGTGGGGGGAGAATATTTTTGGCTTAATTGCAATCGCAGGCTACCTCCCCCTGCCATAGTGTGTAAACCTTGCAACTTTTATCACCTAGGTGTTTCAACACACGAAAGACTAAACACAGCAGCAACGGTTACAACAAATAAATAAAGATATCGATAACAGAGAGAGGCATAGTCACAAAAGCCTCACTTTTTCCATTCAAAAAAAAAAAAAGCACAATACTGTATCACAAAAACTATACAGATCTCCCTAGCGACGCCGGCTGGGCTGCTGCTGGAAACGCAGGGGATGTGGAACTTTCATTTCCAATTGCCTTTTATCGTCCATCCCCTCGTCCCCCCCGCCGATAAAGCAGAAGCCGATGGTGATCAAGCACTCGGACGGCGTGCAGCAGCCGCCCGCTCCAAGACCTCAGCAGTACCTTTTGGCTCCTTTTTCATGCTGCGCTTTTCTATGAAAACAATGTAAAATATTTAGTGTTTTTAGTCTGTTCCAAAAAAAAAATCTACTAAGTAAAAGCGAGAGGCGGGAGGGGTCTCCACACAGCGATGCATGATCCCTTCCACCCCCAGAAGCTGAAAAATTCGCTGTTTTTTCTTTTTCTATTTTTTTCCTTTCTTTTTTCTTCTTTTTTTCCCTTTTGTTGTTGTTGTTATTGTTGTTGTTGAGAAAGCGGAAGTTGGCAAATGGACACGGTTAATTCAGAGTGCAGAGTGGGTGCGGGGGATGACCTCACACTTCAAGCGCCTCCCTTGTTCGTGTAACATAAAGGAAGGCTGGAGAGGGACAGGCAAGCTTCTTTACTGAGGTGGTCTGATGGCACAGAAAGAATCTTCCCCCAGGCAACTGAAAGAGAAGTTGGGGAGGAAGAGGAGAAAGCAAGTCAACCTGTGTTTAAATCAACAAAACTAGAGATAAGAAGAAATTTATTGATAAGTCAGTCTTGCCAACTCGTATCATTTTATCCCAAGTCCTGCCATCTTTTGTTTTTTTTTCTTAAGGACCCATCTCCTGGAGTCAGGTGATTCTTGTGAGACTCTATTCTATGCTTTGACTGAAAATAGAAAGGATGTTTCTTGCCATCCTGGCTGTGGAGAAAAGTTTGGAAATATGACACTCCCCCACACACATCCAAGGCTCCAACGCCAGAACCTAAAGTTTATTATTTTTTTAAATCTCTTGGTTTATTAGCACCTCGCCAGTTTCTGAAAGCTTGCTGTTGGCAATGTTGAGTTGGTTGGGTAAACGGGGGGAAATCTGCTGCCTCCTTTTGAAATCCCCCCCCATTTCTGGGGGCTTAAAATTTCAAAAATGGGAAACATCATCCAAGTTATGAAATCTGAAGAATTCCAAGGGGGAGATGGAGGAATTTCTGGGTGAAAATGTTGATGGTTCTCACCCCCACTTTTCTGTTGTAATTCAATATTTCGGAGACATTTCTTAATGTGCGCTCTTTGGGGCAAGGGCTGCATCTGTGCAGCCCCTGTGTGTTCCCACAATACACAGATAAAATTCAATAATAACCCATATGATTAATGCTGCAGAATATTGATGAGCAGGGGCTATTCAATATTACACCCTGCCAGTTGTGCTACCGATGCTTAGCACACGAGCACCTTCCCCAATCCCCAGATTTTGCAAACTGCCTCTGGGGCTCTTCCATCGCGGCTACCGGGTGAGTCACACCACAGACCCTGCTGGTTTAAAATCCTTTACAGCGAGGCAGGTTTTACTGTATCATCGGGTACAACAGTCCTTGTGGATGCCTGAAAATCAGAAAGCGTGTTTGCGATTGTCCCCCAAGGTCGTAGGAAGGAATCGACTCCCCCATCGGGTGGTAAGAATTATAAAGCTCCCAAGAGGGGAGTTTGGAACCAACTAGATCCAAGTCTAACCACCGCTCGTCCCCCAGTAACTCACTAAAGAGTTTGTCTTCTCCTCCCTTCCAGCCTCTGGCTTCTCCAGCTTACTTTCTTCTTTGCACCACTGCACACAAAGCCCTGAAGAGCAGCTTTCCCTACGCCAGGTGCCTGCTGCTGAGCTCAGGGCCCCACCGGGCCCCCATTGGAGCTTGCCCTGCATTCCCGACTAGCTCCCTTCTGACAATATGGCATTTTCCTTTGTGCATGTTCACCACTAGAGTTTGCTACATACTGCCTTAAAAACAGCCAAGCCCAGATGGAAAGAGGCAGAGTTAGGGCTCAGAGGAGAACATATTGCGTAGGGAAGGCAGCATCTGCAGCTCCCGCCAATCGAATTAGTGCCGGTCACCCCATTTCAATAACATGCCCCTGCTTGAAAAGCAGCAAGAAAGAGGGCATGTTCTGCAGAGATGGGCTGAATTCAGCATCATTTCTTGGAGACCCCTTCTCAAATCTGGGTGTAGGGACTAGCCCTGGGTCTGAGCCCTCTCCCCACCCACCCCAGATGTGGCAAAATAAGAACCAGCCTGGTAAAGGGGTACAAAAATAAAACGAACCCACCGCAGGTTTTGCTCGGCCCTCAGGCTGCATCAGCGTGTGGCTTGAATTATGGAATTGTGAGGGTCAGAGATGGAGGAGACCTTGGACCTCATATCTGCCCCATCTTCCTGGCAGCACAGGCATGCTCCTTCCAGTGCCTTCCCCAAACTTTACCCCAGCCTAGTTTCAAAGTCCCAAGTGATGTCTGGGGTTTATCTAGGGCTATTAGCAGGGTCTCTAAGTGCTAGGAGGCTCAAATCTTCAGGGTACTATTCCACAGCCAAAGAGAACTGAGATGTGCTGGAGGAGGTTCCTCTGAGCCCCTGTCTGGAATCCCAGCACCATCCTGACAGGGACACCGGGGTGACCTCCTTGGCTTTGGTCCAGCTCATTCCACTCTCTGGACGCTGCCAAACTTTCCCTGACAGAGACCACTCATCCCTGGGGCACCTCACAATGCTTGAGGAATAGCCCTTGAGGAATAGCCCCAGACTGCACTGTCCACTTCTTCCTCTGCTTTCCCTTACCTCCTGGCTCCTGTGCCCTCCTCCCTGTTCCTCACCTCTCTGCATTCTAATGTGGCTGCTTCCTCCTGCTGCTCCATGTTACTTAGGCCCAAACATAGGGGAGTACTTCTCCACACAACTCACAGTCAACCTATGGAACTCATTGCCAGGGGATGCTGTGAAGTGCAAAAGTATAACTGGGTTCACAAAAGAATTAGTAAGTTCATGGAGGATAGATCCATCAATGGCTCTTAGCCAAGATGGGTAGGGACACAACCCCATGCTCAAGGTGCCCTGAAACCTCCAGTTACCAGAGGCTAGGACTGGATGATAGGGGATGGATCACTTGAAATTACCCTGTTCCATTCATTCCCATTGAAGCATCTGGCACCAGTCACTGTCAGCATACAGGACACTGGGCTAGATGGACCATTGGTCTGACCCAGTATGGCCGTTCTTATGTTCTAGCATTGACAGCACAGAAGAGACTGTCTGCCCACTCTCAGTTCCTGGGCCCGGCACCACAACAGACCCCAGCACCATGAGGAGCAATTGTCCCAGATGCTGGGACTGGATGACAGTCCAATTACTTAATGATGGCCCTGTTCTGTTCATTCCCTTGGAAGCATCTGGCATTAGCCACTGTCAGAAGACATGCTCCATGCATCTGAAGAAGTGAGGTTTTTTACCCACGAAAGCTTATGCCGAAATAAATGTGTTAGTCTTTAAGGTGCCACCGGACTGCTTGTTGTTTTTGTCGGAAGACAGGATACTGGGCTAGGTGGACCATTGGTCTGACCCAATATGGCCGCTCTTATGTAAGGAAAGTCCTGCTTAGTCCCTGCAACCCCTGATCAATTCCTGGAAAAGTTCGAAGCAACTGAAAATGGGCAGTGTCAGGCAACCGTAAGGAATGGCACCTGCACAGTCTAGTCACCACATAAGAGCTGTGAGAGGCTGGAGCGTGCTCAGTAAAGATGGAATCTTTGGAGACTTTAGCTGCCAAACTCTAACAAGTCTCTACTGTGCATGTGGAAGCAGAGATTTTTTTCAAAGGTTTATAATGTGACCATATTTGGGTGGATTTTAACGGGGGTGGCCAAGGCACATTCCTGACATAAAGGCCACCCACCTGCCAAATTTCAAGCTCTTTCTCCAAAGCATGGGGGCGCTAGGCCTTTTCAATTAAACAGTTGCAAGACTATTTTTAATACGGGCAATATAACGTATTTTTTCCTAGCATCGTTCTAGGAAATGGCTGAGCTGTTTCAACTGAAACTTCCCCCCTCCCTCAAAAGTTCAGCATGAGGCAAACACGCAGCACAGAAAATATTAGCTCAAACAGTTAGAGTTTGGCAACGTTATAAGCAACTGAAAATAGGCCGTGTCCGGCAACCGTAAGTCTAGGCAGCACCACCAGTTCTGCTTACAATAAACAGAGATCCCCAGCACTGCCACCTTGCTCGGCTTACCTCAGCTTGGGATCCCGGGACTATACGAGTCCGTCATAGAGGGACAGGGCCTGTACGATGGACGGGTCGGCTTTGGAGCCTTCCTGGAACTCCTGCAGCGTTAGCTTCCCGTCGGCATTCTGAAAAGCAATGGCCGTGAGAGCTGGTGATGGCCAATATGTTGCAAGTAATTGTTTTATTGAAATGCCCTGGACCCAGAGGAACAATCTGTGCTTGGTATTAAAGAGAGACAGCTTTGAGTCAAAGCCCTCACCCCAAACTCCAAGGAAATTCAGATAGATTTGGACCCGGCCCCGCTTGACTCTGCCCCATCCCTGATATCTCCCCCAATTCTCTACTGCCTTGTGTGCACGTTGAGGAGTGGATTCGAAGGGCCCCTCATTCCTCTGGCGCTGCCCCACTGGCCCTTGAAGCCCTCACTGGGCAGGTGGGCAAGAGTAGACCTGGAAAGTTGGCCACCCTGGTTGGGGAGGGGTTACGGCTAAGGGGATAGTTACGCTGGTCCACTCGGCAGCCTCCTCTGGCCCTCCAGTAGAAACAAAGGCTGCCCTTCCCCCAGAGCAGGCGGTGACAGAAACGCACCTGGGCAAATCCCACTTCACCCCTGGGCGTGACACCGCTCTAGCCCAGCAAGGCGGAGTCCAGCCCAAAGTGCCAGCCTGCCAGAGGCGGATTCAGCCAAGCGCCCAAGCCCAGGCTTTGCTTTAAGTCTCCACTGGGGTTTAAGCCCTCTGCTGAATCAGCCGTGCATTGAAATGAGATCACCCGTCACCTCCACACCTGGTCAGGCCAGCCTGGGGTCAAGAATCCACGCTCACACGCAGGGGGGAAGCGGGAAGCAGGAAGAAACTGTACGGCAAACATCCCCTCCACTGGGCTAAGTCTAGATCAGGGACTGATGGTTCACTGACAAATGTGGCGCTGTGTCACACCCGATGACGAGAGGCCCTGAGTAGCTGGGGCTCCCACCAGCCCTGCAGAAGCTTTGAGCAGGCTGCATAGGCGAGATTTTGTGTCCACAGGGAGAGGAGACGACTACAGGCCGGTGGGTTTCATGGGGGACCCACTCTGGGAGATGGAGGAGCGGGGCTTGTGACAGCTGCCGCCCCCTAGAGGTGAGAAGAAAACACACAAGAGTTGCCATCGAGTCTCACCTTGTCCATCATAGCGAAAATCCGATCCACTCTCTTCTCAGGTGTGTTTTCCTCTTCTGGAAGCTCTACCGTATTTCCCTGTAGGGACAGGAGAGAGCGTAACTTACGCACATTTACTGCTTGTGGCCGGGCTGCATCCTCGGTGCTGGGGGGTCTCTGCGTCTCATCTCTCTGTGCATTAGGTGAAGAATGCCCCGGTCTAGAGCTGAGCTCCCTCGGGCCAGTTCTGGGCGGCTCCATCCGCTCTGCAGAAAGCCTGCTCTCTCCGCCGCAGCCGACCTCACGTGCATCCCAGTCACAGGAGACGCCTAGCGAAGGGCCAGATCCGATCCCTGCCCCCACTTGGAGCAGCACTGGGACCTGGGGCTGCAGCAGTCTCGGGAGGCGGGGAGGGAACCCAAGCCTCCCACAGCCGGCTGTGCAGCCAAGTGATGCTGATGGGGGTCACAGGCTCACGACAGGAACCTCAAGTCGGAAGCCGCCTCTGCTGCACTCTGCTCTCTAGGGGGAGGAGTTATCCAGGAGGCTGTCCTGCTCTTCCCCACCTCACCCCCTCCACCATATCCACAAAAGCAGGGGGGGTGCCCTGCCGCGGGGGCTACCCACGTCCTGCCTCACTTTGACCGTTGGAGCCATGCTAATTTGACTCCCGGACA